GCATGAGATCAAAGCCAGGCCAGAAGCATTCTGAATATGAAGTTGAGTACAAAAAAACATAACAATCACGATGTGACCTTGGGCAAGTCAAGTACCCGTTCAATTCCTCCATTTCTCCGTCTGTCAATAACGTTACTACCAGATGTCCAAACTCAGAAAACAAACACCCTTTGTTTTCTGAACAACATGAAAATACAAATCTTTCTGGAAGAATAAAAAAAACACCCTAATGAAAACTAAGATTTTATTACCATTTAATGAATAAATATGAATATAATAAACAGATCTAAACCAAAAATGGCCTGCTCGCTCAGTCCCATGATACTTATTAGAAAGTTTGAACGAAATGTCAAGAGGATATGAGGACTGAAAAGGTATTTTCCAAATACAGACAATAACCATGTCATAGTACAATGAGTTCACTTACTATGGAGATGTGTTAATTTACTAGGGAGAATCTTAGACACCACATGATGAAACTAAGAACCAAGGTAAAAATACAGAATGTCAAGGTGGCAGAATCATATCCAGAATTCAGGTGATTAGGTATTTATATAAAGTGTAACTGGAAAAGAAAAATAGGTAAAATTCATATAGGATGGCCAGGTACTGTTTTAACCACTAACTTAACCCTCAGCCCTCATTTAATCCTTATTTAATCCTTCTAACTATACTATGTGGTAGGTCTACTACTATACTCCCCTTTTAAAAAATAAAACTGAGGCAGAGAGAGGTTCAAGTAACGGTCCAAGTCCATAAAGCTAGTAAGGGGGTGCAAGTGGCATCTGGAACCCAGCAGCCTAACTCCAGAGCTGATGTTCTAACCTACTACATCATACTGCTTCTCAAAAGAAGAAAAAATATTCCTGAAGAGCAAGGACATCAGAAACTTGAAGTCCAAATTGAACCACACACATATATAACCAATTTAAGGTTGCAGTTTTCATTTGAGGCAGAGACAATTTGGTTCCTCATGTCTCAGCAAAAACTGTTATACCAAGAAGTACAAACATAAGTGCATGTACTGTGTCAGTCTTCAGTGTGTAACTCTCAAGAACGCACAGAAGTTGATGAGAAACATTTTAACTCATTCGGCAAATATCAAACACTTGCTTTCAGACACAGTCCTTTCTGTAATAGGCTTGTATAAATTTCCATTATAAATAAATACTGTGTGTTCCATTTATGTGAGGAGGAAATGAAATACTGTAGGGAGATTTAGACCAAATGAGGCAGCAAGGACCAACATAATATTGGCCAAAGGCAACTTAAAACTTAAAAGAGGCTGGGATACTTTATTTTTCAATCTGATGTGTATTCAATCTGGCCCAGTGGTTTTGTCCCAACTCTCAACACATCCTAAATGATTTCAACGTCCCTATGCATGACCCAGGGACCACTGTATTTTCAACGGTTTTTTTTTAAATGTTTTTAAATTGACTTATAATCATTTTACAATGTTGTGTCAAATTCCAGTGTAGAGCACAATTATTCAGTTATACATGAACATATATATATATTCATTGTCACATTTTTTCTCTGTGAGCTACCATAAGATCTTGATTATATTTCCCTGTGCTATACAGTATAATCTTGTTTATCTATTCTGTATTTTGAAATCCCAGTCTATCAAAGTTTTGATTTTTTCAAATCTCATCATTTTAAACTCCTTTCCACTTCACGCTTCCTCTCTTAACCACCTCCTGGGGACTGCCGTGACCTTGAAGTGACTCTTACTTCAGATCTCCCACCTCCCTACTCCTAACTCACCTGCTCTTCACACCATGCGCCTGGTGCTACCCCTGCTTCCCCTTTCTTCCTGACATGTATCCTAGGTAAGCGCCACAGTCCATCACTTAAACTCCTGCCTCTCCCACTAGCAGGCTCCCACGTCCCCAGCCAAGTCCCACAGTCAGCCTTGTCTCCCACAGCAAAGGCGACTGAGCCCTGTGGGAGAAAGAGCGCGCTCTCAGATGGGCTTTGATGACAGTGTATCCTTTCCAACTCCATCTGGATCTTCCACGTTTCAAATTCATTTTTTTTAACTTCCTCCTGGGAGGCTCCCTTTCCCTTATCTTCGGTCATACTCTCACTCTCCTCATATCTTCATCCTCTTTTAAACTCAGCAGATTCCCTCAGTTCCAATGGGCCCCGTTAATACGTGGCTTGGAGCAGTCAACTACCAAGTTCCACGTCTTGGGGACATCTGTAATTCCTCCCTTCCCTAGTGACATCCAGGGTGAAGACACCCTATTCTGTTCAGCACTGCTCTATGTGGGCTCATTCACCTGTGTGATGTTCAAGTCTGTCCTCTGACTTCGGCCTCTGGGTTGTTACAGAAACCTGGCTTTCATCTAAAGGCATGCTCACGTCTCTCCCCACTGGCCAACCTCAGCCCCTCCTTCCTGTCTCATAGCCCTCTCTTGCCACCATCCATTCTCTTATTACCTCCCACCAAAGCTCTTTGAAAAATGGTTCGCGGTCACCGTCTTCACTTCCTAATCCCAAATTCACCCTTTAATATATAGCCCTTTGGCTTCTGCCTCTGTCCCCAGCAAGGGTCACATTGCACTCCTGTCTACTAATTCAAGGGGTGATTTACAGCAATGTCATTTGACCCCTCAGTTCCCTGCTCTCTCCTCCTAGAAACTCTTGCCTTCTTCATTCCGAGGACAACACTTCCCTGGTATTTTTCCTTCCTCTAAACTACTGCTCAGCTTTCTTGGTTATACTCTTCCCTTCCTTAAGTTCTCAAACTGCTGGTTTTTCCAGAGTTCTGTTCTGTGTTCTCTCCAAAGGTGAGTTCATATAGTTCCACATTTTAAAATGCCACTCGTCTTGACAACATAAAAAAAAACAAAAACGAAACAAAAACTCCATGTCCAGTGACTTAGAGTCCTAAAGAATTCATTTACCCAACCTCTAGTCATTTCCATAAGGGTTACTAAAATTCCTTTCACCCAATCTGTCCAAAGTGAACAAACGGTCCCCACCACTCCCATTATCAAACTCTCCTTTTCCTAGATGACTTTTTTGGAAAGTAGCACCATTAGGCGCCAAGTCCTCTGAGTCAGAACCTGAACATCATTCTCTGCTGACTTTTCATTCACACACTCCCAAGTCCCAGCAACTTCCAAAAACTGCAACCTTTACCTTCAGCTAAATCTGCACTCTCGTTCCAAGCTGCCTTAATTCAGACCACTGTCTCTTACCTGGAATAATGCAAGAGACTTTCATATGAGTTTTCTGCCCTTAACTTCCACAAGACACCCCATAGACCACCTGCCTACAACCCAGATGTATAAACACTACAGTTCACAATACAAGGTTCTTCATGACAAGGTCTGTGTTAACTTTCATCATCTACCCTTTCACTTCCCTCTCTCACATTTTATGCCCTGACAGCGTAGAAGCTCACACATTTCCCAAAGCCCTCCATTTCAAATGTTGTCTCCACTGCTTAAAATACCTTCTCACCTGTCCCATAATGGCATGGTTTATTTCTTGTCATCCTCCAAAACCCTCCTCTCCAGGAAGGGTACATATTCTCCTCCCTCTTAGAAGCCTTTCTTTAGTTCCTTCCCTCTTCATATATTAATCTCTCCCTCCTCTTGATGACTTTGGAAACATGTACATTACTTTTCTAGTGGAAGTACAGTTGATGTACAGTGTTATATGTTACAGGCACACAACAGTGAGTCACAATTTTTCTAGGTTATGCTCCATTTATGGTTATTATAAAATGCTGGCTATACTCCCCACAGTGTACAATATATCCTTGTAGCTCGTTTTATACCTATTAGTTTGTACTCTTGAATCCTCTGCCCCATACTGCCCCTCCCACATTCCGTTTCCCCACTGGGAACCACTAGTTTGTTCTCTGTATCTGGGAGTCTGCTTCTTTTTCGTTCTATTCACTAGTTTGTTGTATTTTTTTTTTAGATTCCAGGTACAAGTGATACCATATATGACTCAGTCATAAAAAGAAAGAAATTTTGCCATTTGCAACAACATGAATGGACTTAGACGGCATCATGCTAAGAGAAATAAGTCAGATAGAGAAAGACACATACTGTAAGAAACATGTATATTTTTATATTTTTCCCCTGATAGACTCGAATGAGAATCTGTATTTTATATGTATGTCTCACCCATTGGACATGTGCCCCTTTAGATAAGAAACTGTGGTTTATTCATCTCTGTATCCTCAAAATTTACCATAAAGTCTGGTGCATAAAAGTCACTCACTAAATGCTTGACAGGTTGAATTGAATTGGATTTCACAGTTCAGTTTTGCTTTTAAGAGATGGCTGCAAAAGACAGACTTCCCTGGCCATGTCAAGTCCTGCACCAATCATCTGTCAACCCAGGTTCAATGTTACCATCCCCCAGGGTGAGAAAACATTCTCTCTGATGCATGCATTGTCTTCGGTTATCAGTGATTTCAGCAGATTTAGAAATAGGGTCTTAAATAGTTCATTCCTCCTCCTCTGGTTAGGAGATGTAGCAGTTCACTAAATAGTCCTTACAAAAGAGTAATATTTTACCCACAGCAGGTGTCAGGTCAATCAAACCTTTCAGCAAAAGCCACAGAGCCACATGGCTTACAACTCAGACAATCTAATCCCATTTTCACAGCTCTGTTCATCCTGTCCACTAAATGGGAAGACAGAAGAGCCATGAGTTTTGTCACACATGAACTCTTTAATGCTGCCCACAACGTGGTTCTCAATCCTGGTAAAAAAGACTTGATAAATCAGGGAACTATATTCAGTATCTTATAGTAACTTATGGTGGAAAAGAATATGAAAATGAATATATGTATGTTCACGTATGACTGAAGTATTGCGCTGTACACCAGAAGTTGACACAACATTGCAAAGTGACTATACTTAAATTTAAAAATATATATATACACACACATACGCACCCACACACACAAACATCAAAAAAAAAAATCAATGGTTGCCTCCAGCGATCGGACGTAGGATTTCTACGGGGTAAGAATGCTTTCTCAGTTTCTAAAGAGCAATCGCACAGGGTGGTAGAAGGGGCAGAGATTCTGGAGTCAGACAGTCCGAGGTCCACCTCCTATTAGCGGAGTAACCTTGGGCAACGGACATCAATCTCTGAGCCTCAATTTGCCTCACTGGTAAAATGAGGATGATGTCTACCTCACTGACTTAAAATTATTTATACCTACGATAAATAAGGTGATAAATGTATTACAGTGTCTAGCGGCGTATCGGGCACATTCTAGATATTAAATAAATGACATTTTCTTTCTTTTCCCTTAGTTTCAGTTCCCAAAAGCCCTACTGAAGATGGGCTACAGGAAGGCAGACAGGTTGTGTCTGTCTCGTTCACTGCTGTGCCCCCAGTGCCTAGTCAAGTGCCTGGGTCATAACAAGTGCCCAATAACTACTTAACGAAATGAATTTTCTTACAAGTCTGTTCTACGCACTCCTATCAAAACAAGTCTTAGGTTGTTCCCAGTCCCTACAATGATGCCCACTTGCTTTTTCTCTTCTTTTTCTTTCCCTCTCTCCACTCCCCCCACCCCCACACACCATTAACTCATACACAAAACCCCAAACTGAGCATCTGTTTTTTGGGAGCTTGCCTGTCGACCTCAGATGGGTTTAATGAATGGTCCATCTGGTTAAATCAAAAATGTCTACTTAACACACTAGCAATTTTATGATTTATAAAAGACTTGATAAAAACACAATTGTATTTTAAATGCCTGGACTAAAATCCATCTTCTCTAAGAAGGTTATGGGGAACATAAAATGTCCCAACTGCCTAAGTGCCATCTGCATCAACAGGAAGGAGGCAGCTCATGAATTTCAGAAAAATAATTTACAAAGGTCATTGTGAGGTTCCAAGAGGTGGCAAATGAAATAAATGAAAATTACAGACAAATCTGAACTGAAATCAGACTTTTCTGTGAGAAAGTCTATGTAAATGCAAGAAATACAGGGAAGCAGTTGAGACCAAATCAGAGAGACCACTCTGGATATAATTAGGTAAGAGCCCATGGGAAGAGACAGTTTAAAAAAAGAACACAGAGAAATGAATTACCTTGGGCCCAAAATATTTCATTCTCATGCTTATTCTTGGAAGGGGGGGGGCCGTATAATTTCTTATTTGTACATTTTTATTTGATTAAAAAGAAACTCATTTGAGGGAACTCTCATTTTAAGGACCACCTTCACCACTGTCAATTGCACAGACAAAAGCTGAGTTTGAGACCTCATGAGATGAAAATGGTAGTAACTTTACATCTGAGAGTCCACAGTATCTTTAAAGGCTTATCAGGGTCAGTATTGTTACAAGCCTCTCCTTTGTCCTTTCCTTCCTCCAACCCCCAACACACCCAGGACCTTTCTGACAAGAAAACAAATGAAGACTGAGCTTTTCCCAAACATATTTGAAATGACGTCTCTCGGCCAAAATCACAAGCATCTTTGTTGGTTCAACATTTAGCACGCATTTCGTTTTGAGCAATGGAGTTGGAACTTTAATCAATGACAAGCGAAAAACATACCACCTGTCAAACGGCTACACTGGGAGCAGTAGGCAGAGGTGAGGGTTGGTAAGGGGAGAATTGGGATCAGGAAATAGATTAAAAATATAAATTCTCTCCATCACACTGATGCTGGACAACAAATGCTTTGTGCAAAGAAAAAGCTATCAACATCCCCCACAACCTTCCTTTACCAGAAAATGTCCAGAACTGGGTGGGAGAGGGCACGACAGGGTGTTAGAAACAGATTTGCTCAATCCTTCAGGAGTGGTCTAAACACTGATACCCCAAGCACATTCAAACAAGCACTTCACCTTCAGGGTGCATTGGTGTCCACACCTACTTCTGTGATGTCAACCAATGTCACGCTCAAGATGAGGAAGAGGCAACAGACCGGTATTTATTTGGAACAAAGAAATCGGACAGCCTAACAGATGCAGAAAGATATTTCAACAAAATGAGACTTACAGACATACCTACCTCTGTGTAGCATTTTAACTTGGAACAGATATTGAAAGCTGCTAATTCACTGGATTTTTGCCAAAACACTTTGTAATGTTTATTCCCATTTAACTGATACAGAAAGTAGGAGTCAGAAAGGTTAAGCCAATTCATCAAAACTTGATCTCCATCATACAACCTTTATTGAGGGCTTACTCTGCTCAGCACCATGCTGAAGAAATTACATATGCATTATCTCATTTCATCCTTAAAGCAAGCATATGAGACAGAGATACTATGTACATTCCAAATTTCAGATGTGGAAATTGGGACTGAGAGAGGTAAAGCAACTTAACTGAGGTCATTACATATGATGACTGACTGAAACAGTCTGCTAGAGCCACTTGAAATTCACACGCCACATACACACATGCACCACACACGCACCATCTACAGTCCATCTACACATACCACACACATCCTCCACATCACATATATCCCCCACCTGTCCCACACAGAGCAAATGCAACACACACACACTGCATACACTTTTATACCACACACATCCCACATACACACACCACACACACACCTTATACACACGCTGCACGCACATCCTCACACTATACATACAAGCGCTATATCCATGTATGTGCACATGCTCACACCACACACACCCTGTTTGCAGGTTGCTACCAGAAGCCCCTGGGACGCCACCTCTACTCTACTCTCCAAGGAACAGGTCTTTGTCACTTGGTAAAGGACCCTGGTTCTCAGGTCAAAGACACGGAGAACGTCTCAGGAAGAAGAAACAACAAGCAAAGTAATGATGCGTGCCCCCCTAGCCCACCGGTACAGAGCCTCGCTGGGTAGCAGGGCCACAAGGTGGCCCACCTGGGGGCTTTAGGGAAAAATATGTAAGTCCAGGTCTCTCTCTAGACCAATTAAATTGGAAGTGTTTGTGGGGGAGGGCAGGGTCCTGGGTCTCAGCATTTGAAAACACATCCACTGTAGATGATGCAAAGGTGCAGTCAAGATGGAGAAGAACACCTTCCCTCTTCCATGTGTCCTTGAATCTGAGCCTCCTACTGCCCAGGGCACAAGTGAGGCCCACCGCCCATCAGTGTGGCAAAGGCAACAGCTGGGGCCGACCCATCCCTGCTGCTTGACCACCGTGAAGCCATGGTGAGATGAGAGCAAGGCAGGCCAGCCCCCGACAGCATGTGAAGCCCTCATTTCCACTGACCGCGACCTCCCTGCATTTAGTGCCAAGGGGTTCCTGCAGCCTGTCTCCAACCCGAGCACCCAGCACTGGGCTTTACTATGCTCCAGTGACTTATTCCCCTGGCCACAGGGCCTTTGCAACTGCCCTGCCCTCTGCCTGAAATACTCTCCTCTCGCGTCTTTACATGGTTGGTTCTTTCCAGTTCTTCAGCTCAAAGCCACTTCCTCAGAGAGGCTCTCCCTGACCACCCACCCAAATGTGGCCCTGCCCCCAACCCTAGTCACTTGCTGGCTTTCCCTGTTTTGTTCTCTTCACTGCACGTAGCATTGGCTGGTATTTTTAACTCATCATTGTCATTGTCACCCCTACCTGAACTCATCATATATGCAGGAACCAAATAAACCTGTTCACCTGCCTCCTCTCATCGCCCAGAACAAACTCAAGAAGAGGAATTCCGTGCATCTTGTCCACGTCTGCGTTCTGAGTAACAGCGACTGGCACGTAGTAGGTGCTCAATAAATATTTCACTAAATGAAAAATAAATAAATAAGAGCAGGGTTGTTTTTCTTTTAGGTTTTAGAAAAACCAAGACAGGAAATGTAAACCTACTGCTATAGTGGGAAGGGATGCATCTAATATCAAGCTGTGGACTTAAAATTCCTTAACAGCCAGGCTGCCCACAGAGCAAACTCAGGTCCACAAGACCAGTGCTCTTAACCACCACAGCATCAAGTCTGCCTTCCTACGGAGAACCTAAGGCACAGACTGAAACTGGCACAAGAGTCTTGTGCTTTTCCCTGAGGCTCTTTGCTGTGTTCCAGGGCTGGGGTTAGAAAGGGAGGGATGGAAAAGAGTGAGCAAAACCAAACAGATATACCGAGCATCAAGAAGTCTTTATCTCTCCCCGCGCACACAAGATTTATGTTCCCGACGGCAGTGTGGCCCTGAAACTCATGTCCTGTTAACGACTCATCATCCGAAGGTTCTAACGTGCATGTGAATTTTAAACAGGAAAACTCTCTGCTCAAATTCAGAGACTCACAAGCCTTCTGTTTTGACAGCTTCTCTGCAGAAAGAAAACACCTCGAGTGAAACTCACCCCGGTCCCCGATCCAATTCGCAGGCTCCTCACAGATGAGCCAGTGTGAGAGGGGCGTGGGGGCTGGCTTCCTCTAATCAACTTTCGGGGGGTGAAAAGTGCACTGGGAGCCCACAGGCAGAAGAAGTTGGGCCCACGCTGTCTATCAGCAGCTCAAGAAACTGACTGCAGAAAGGCCCAGAAAGCCTTCTTAAGTAAACTCCACCAAGAGCGCAGTCGCTGTGGCTTCAGGAGTGAGATGCTCAGAGCCTCTCTGCCCGTGAATCCATCACCTGAACGAAGACCTGCTTTACCCGCTGAAGCCCTGCTACTCTCATTTTTGTAGCTTCTTCTGCTTGAAATCCCTCTCCACCACCAACCCCTCCCAGCTTTCTCTCCTCACCCCCGACCCCTCCCCTATCTATCTATTATAATCCTGCCACCCACCGAGGCCAGGTGGGGCTGCTCCACCTCTGAGGGGCCTTTTTCATCCATCTGCACAACCACAACCATCTACTGAATCTCCCTTGTTTTCACAGTGGGTTTAGGCATTTGATCAAGGGCGTTCTGGAATTCTTTTCTGGTCATTTCATGTGTCTCTATCCCTTTAGGAGAATACTTTGAGTTCCGTGGTGACAGAGATGGTGTCAAGCCCTTTTTGTATTCCCCGGTGTCACACGCACTTAAGATACTTGTCAAATGATCCTGGGAGAGTGAACACAGCCGGCTTCCCCTAGGAGGTCCAACAGGGATAAATCCTTGTCAGTCGAGGCTTTAGCTGGAAGACCACCATTTGTACAGCTTAACTCTCCATTAGGAGACCCCTGCTAATGCCGAACTAATCCAAGGCAACTGCCTTTCTAAGGGATCAGAGAAATGGAAAGGATGCCTCACACAGAGGCAATTTAGCATCACAGGCTGATCCACTTATGGCAACCAGCTACCGAGGGGCCTGACTGAGGAAGTCGGGGCCCCGCCCTGCATCTGAGAAGCAGAGGTCAGTTAACTGGTCATGAATCTCCCCTACGCTGGAACTCTCATACCAGAATTTCAGTGTATTCCTTCAGTATATTACAGAGAGTATTTATCCATTAAATGGGTCAAGGAAGCAGTTTTGGGGAATGCTACACATTTCACCTCCCACAGAGAGATTCAAAATGCTCCTTAGTTGGCAAAGGCGTTGAGAAATCTTTCAGAAAGTCAATCTATTTAATTTTGTTCAACTCAGCATCTCCCACACTCATTTATGCATGGAAAACCCTTTTCCA